GACAAACAAGTTCCTGACTGCCCCAGCCTCACCTGAGGTGATCTACCTCGAAATGAAATGGTGTTTTTCTCCTTCCAAAGGAAATATGTGAAAATATCTTCTGCATAATCTGTTGTCCACCAGTTCTTCACAAAGGCCATCTTGTGCTCACTTGCTGATAACAGGCATATCAAATGCCATGACATGCACAAAGCATGTGACCAGTGGCCTTCAAAGGCAAGGCCTGTACACAAGCCAATACAATGGGCCAATATTACCTGATAGTGTTCCAGCATGCAGTGCAAAGGTCATCACATGTTCTGTAGCGATGGAGCTTGCATACATGCCATACAATATCCTACAAATACAGATAACAAAAGCACCATGTTTTTTACCAGCTCTGGACACATGAATCATTTACAAGTTAAATTTGCATGCATGCCGCATCCAATCTGCAAGATGTGGTAAAAATTGGCAGCCAAACTAACCCCACACATCAATTTCATGTCACCATGCCATGCGATAGGTGAGAGCAGCAGGCAACCCCCAAAAATGCTTTTAAGGGGTGGACCATTTTTGCCCTACCTGTGGCAGAGCCATGTGGTCATTGCCAAATGCAGACATTTTGCCCACAAAACTTGTGAAGTGTGAACTTCATCCTAGCTCAATTCTATGGAAGATAATTGCAATGAGTCAGGTATACAGCCATATAAAGGACTACAAGTTTTCAATATAACCAGAATAATCTCATTGCAATGATTGCATGCATGAAAGTTGCTAGCAAGATGCACCTTGACTGAATTTTAAAACACAGATGTTGCTCACAGATCCAAAAAATTCCAGTATAAAACAGACACCATATGCCAGCCAGTGTTAATAAATTCAATAAATGTGACCAATGAATGCTGGTCATGTAGGGCATCTGGTGCCCATTCTACATTTGTGCTTTTCGATTTTGAGGAAGGTATGTAACAACAAATATATTCAAAATAAATCTTACTTGACAACTGTCACCTTCAAAATTATCTTAAGGTCTACTGAATGGGATCAAATACTCCTTGCTCAATTGCAAGATCTCGCCCAGCTTTCAGTCAATTATTTCACGGACAAGCCTGGGCTATCATTCACACATGGTAAAATCTCCAGACACTACATATACTTTGTATTTCTGGAGTCAACCCACAATATTAAGTGTGTGAAATATGACTCATATAAGTCATGTCATTACATATATATGACATATGGCTTTCACGACTTATACGACCCGCCACATACGGCACCGGACAGCCTCGCAGTCAAGTCCGGCGCTTTACAGCATCAGCCCGGCTCGATTATGTCCCAATAGCGCCACAACTGTCTTAACCGTGCTCACGAATTTTTTTGTTCAGAATCAGCTTTGAAAACCAGATACATAAAGGGGTTTCAAAAGTCTGCCCATTCATAGTGATGACAGGGTTATCAGCGCTGAAGTTCGTACTGTGATTCGTGAAATGTGAGCGATAATTGCAGGTACGTGTACGAGCGAACATCACTCATATTGCGGTACTCTTACCGTGAAAAATTATAACATAAAGCATGTGGCACTTCCGCGTAGGTTGGTTGTGCGCGGGCCACGCGGATGGGTGTTGGTGTAACCCGGTTAGCTGCCAGTGTGACATAGGAGTATTGGGGAAGGGGTGGCATCAAGGACAGTGTGCGTCATTTTGGGCGAGTGATTCGGTTATTTGACAGATGAATATTCGGTGACAGTGGTGCTTCCCTCCATGTAGGTCCTGTTCAGCATCGCGTCCAGCAGACAACACTGCAAAATTTTCCATTTATGCGTTCCATAGCGGGACAAATTAAGATATCTGTGATATTTTGAAGCTTTATCAAGAACATTTTCAGAAACCCATTGTCAGATTTATGATAATTACATACAACTTGCTGAACGTCATCAGTCCCTATGAGATGGGCACAAAATGACCATTGGAGTTGATGCGCCTGAAAACACCAATAAACAACAACAAAGTCCCTATGCGACTTAATGATGTGCCACAGAAAATGTGCACTGGGTTGTCCAATTCAAAATGTTGTCTCTAAATATGTGTAATACAATGTGTATTTGATTTGTGGATTATAGTAGTGTAGTG